AGCCTTTTCCCCACTGGATTCCATTAGTGAATTTGTCGTGCATTATACCCTTATCAAAGGAGGGTGTCACACGAGTTGCGTAACATATTGAATTAGTAGCACTGACTCTCGCTTGAGAAAGGTCGGATCACAGGGCATAGTTAATTTGCCGTGTTGATTGGGAAAGTCATGCAATGGATTGCAAGGGAGATATGAAGGGATGTACAGAGCATTGATTGCAGTGCTCAAGAATTAAGCTATTAAGAAGCAAATTTAATACAAGTATCCATATGATAAGAGTTCTCCTATGGAATGGCAGAAGGAAAGCGAAACTATTAGTCATTTAGGTAGTGAGCCCGCTCAGCCAAAATGGCACAAAGGGAGTATAAAAAGGAACACATGATAGTGAAGCACGATATGATTACACTGCAATTTCATGTAGCAAACGGGGATTCATAAGAGCAGATATTGATCATAATCACAACCATACAGCAGTTATTGAAAATGAGAATTACAGCTCTTATGGTATTCTACGACCCAGTGTGATAGAATGTTGAGCAAGACGACCGACATTTGTGTTAGTAGATAAAAATAACAAAGTAGTCAAAACAATCGACCTAGCTGTACCAGGAGATTAAACGATTAAGAGAGAAAAACTTGAAAAATTCAAAAGTACAGTATTTGAGGGAGGAATAGACATTATGCAAATGAAAGGCTCACAGTATTACCTGTAGTGATTGGAGCATTAGAGTTATCTCGGACAAGTTTCAAAGCATATTGAAAAATTGGGAGTAAAATTGGATAGATATGATTCAAAACACAAAAGTACGACGAATTAAAAAGAGATGGAAAGATTAGTAAATGAAAGCAAAGATATCCCTATGCTTGGAGCCCTTGAACAGATAACACAAAATTGAGCAACTACATCAAGAATGGAGTCAAGACTGTGTTTCGTTGATTATATATTCTTAAAGGACATTATTATTATGTTGACAAGTTGCTTTGTATTATCCCGCTCTGTTTTATTCTTATGCAAATTAGTTTAGTTAGTAGTATTCACACGTTGGAAAATAGGACACGATCGTTACCGCATGCTAACCAGGAATAATATTTAGACAGAAACCAGCTTATCAAAGACACTTTAGAGACATCACCATAAGTAAGTAAGTTTATTTTATTGTATTTTCGCATTCAGTTTCCATTCCAGTTATTCAGTTTATCGCCGCTGTAAGACGTTTTGTATTTACTTATATTCATAATTTACTTGTTTTAGATCGAATAAGATTTTCATTATACGATTGGGTGTCTTGTTCTAAAGTCTGTCCTGTGAGGAAACATACTTGAAGAAACATACATTCGATTTATGTTAAATTGTCGAAGAACGCGAGAACTGTAAACCGAGCGAATAATGATAGGAAACCATGGCGGAAACTGAACAGTTGAAACGTGGTAAAATCGATCGAAGAACTGCGAAAGGAGCTTTTACTCGAGCCTGGAAAGCGTTAGATCACGTAATCGGTAATGAAAGACCGGTAAACGAGGTACAAGAACTTTTGGATAAATGTAAAGGAGCGTTTGAACTTTTAGTGCAAAAACACGAGGAGTTTACAAATCTAATCGAGGATGACGATGAATATGAAGTAGAGGAAAGATGGTTAGCGGAATGCCAGGACTCATTTATGAAAATTGAAACGAAGGCAAAGCAATGTATTGATAAATTGAAGGAAATTTCAAGCGAAGACGAAGACGAAGTATCGGAAACAGCGTCAGTATTTTCAAGAAATTCTCGCGAGAACCCCCCGAGTGGAAACCCACAACAGTTTGATGGAATTCCAAATATGCAGTCAATGACTCGAGGAGAAACAAATGAGGGCAGTGTTGACAAAGACGAAGCGGATCGTTTCCAGGTATCAAAAGGATTAGCGATAAAGGAAGACAATGAAAACCCAATTAAGGAACAGCAATTTTGTGGTTTTAAAGTTGAGAAACCTAAAATGCCATCATTTTCAGGTGATGTAAGAGAATATGCAATTTTTCGTTCTGACTTTAAACATGCAATCGAGGCTCGATACACCAAAAGGGACGCCATTACACTGCTACGTACCTGTTTGAAAGATAAACCTTTGGAATTGATCAAAGGAATTGGATCCGATTATGATGCAGCATGGGAGTATTTGGATGCTATTTATGGAGACCCTCGTTTTGTATCAGATGCAATCACACAAGATATTACCAAATTCAGACCACTACAGGATGGTGAAGATGCCCGTTTTTGTGATTTAGTGCACCTAGTCAAACGATGCTACAACACGTTGAAGGAAGTCGGTATACCAAGTGATATGGACAATAGTCATATGCTTTCAATCATAGAGCAAAAAATGTGTGCTGATGACAGAAAAATATGGGCACGTTACCTGGAGCAAGAGAAAAAAGTTCCAACTTTACAAGCATTAATGTTATGGATGACAGTGGAGATGAAGTCTCGTATGCGTGCTACAGCACCAATCAGATCAACCTTTGTTCACAAACGTACAGTCACTCATGTCGCTAGTGAAAGCAGCAACCGCAACATACTAACAAGACACAAATGCTGGCTTTGCTCAAACTCTTCACACTGGCCAGATCAATGTATAAAGTTTGCTGGGCTCAATGTGAATGACCGTCACAAAGTTGCCAGAGAGAATCATGTTTGTTTTAGCTGCCTGAAAAAAGCTGGAAGAGATCACAAAGCCGTCAACTGTAGCCGTCGCAAACAATGTCCAGTCGTTAAAAATGGTATACGTTGCAACGGTTTCCATCATCATCTCCTGCACAAAGAGGAAAACGGCACAGTAGGAGTCGGAGTTGCCATCGCATCTGATGACGGAGAAGCAATCCTTCCAGTTATTACAGTCAACATCTCCAATTCAAGAGGTTTCTTCAAGCGAGGAAATGTATTGTTAGATTCAGGAGCACAAATCAGCTTGATACGCCAAGAGACAGCTGAAAAACTAGGACTTAAAGGTCAAGATGTATCAGTCAACATTACAAAAGTTGGTGGAGAGGAAGAAACATTAAAAACAAAGAAATATACCGTTACAGTTTCCCAAATCAATGACCAGAAACAGTATTCAGTCAAGGCAATTGGCATTCCAATAATAAGTGATGGTAACAAATCTGTCAACGCATCCAGGCTACAAGAAATTTTCGGACTGCAAGCAGAAAAGGTGAGAAGAGGAAGCGGCCCAGTGGACTTGTTAATCGGCATAGATTATGCTTTCATGCATTCAGGTAAAACAAGGCAAGCTGGCCATCTGATGGCTCGACAGTCTCCACTTGGATGGGTATTTTTTGGAGCAAGACCAGGAGAGACATGTGAGGTAACAAGCATACTTCATGTGAAGTATACAGAACCAGTTGACCTTGCTGCCTTTTGGACCACGGAATCAATGGGAGTTAATATGAAGCAATGTATATGCACTGCAGACAAACTGAGTGAAACTGAGAAGGAAGAGGCCAGAATCATTGCAGAATCGTGTGTTAAGGTGGAAAACCAATGGCTAGTTCCATATCCATGGAAAAAGGATCCCAATCTTCTACCTGACAATAAACAATTGGCAGTGAAGCGTTTAGAATCAATGGAACGTCGATTGAAGATTAAACCCGAACAAGCAGAAGCTTATGATAAGCAAATGAAAGAAATGAACGAAATGAACTTTTCACGTAAATTGACAACTGACGAATTAAAAGAATATAAAGGCCCTGTGCATTACATCCCCCATCATGCAGTCCTAAGACCAGAGAAGAAAAGCACACCTGTCCGAATCGTGTTCAACTCATCCTCAGTGTTTCAAGGTCATCAACTCAACGATTATTGGATGAAAGGCCCAGACTTATTGAATAACCTGTTTGGAGTCAGTCTGCGTTTCAGAGAAAGAGAAGTAGCATTGATTGGTGACATATCAAAGATGTATCATCGAATATTGATACCAGAACAAGATCAGCATGTACACAGATTTCTTTGGCGTAATTTAGAGACACACAGAGAGCCTGATGTTTATGTCAAGACAGTTCTTACATTCGGGGACAAACCAGCTCCAGCGATGGCACAGATTGCTTTGAGAAAGACTGCAGAAGAATGTAAAGAAATCAAACCGAAAGCTGGAAAGGTGCTGACAGAAAATGTTTACATGGATGATATATGTGAATCAGTGAAAACGGTAGAAGAAGCAAAGAAGCTAGCAGAGGATATAGATTTTGTTTTAAAGAACGGAGGTTTCCAAGTCAAAGGATGGATTTCAAACAAAGAACTGCATGAAAACAGCAAGCATACAGGAGAGTCAGATGCAAACAATATGCTGAAAGAAGAAGCAGATGAGAAAGTACTTGGAATTTCTTGGAACAGAAAGTCAGATACGCTGTCACTTAAAGTTGACTCTGACTTGATGAAACTCATTGATGAAGAAAAGCATCTAACAGAGAAGGTAAAACTAACCAAAAGAAGACTACTGTCTGAAGTTGCAAAGATTTATGATCCAATCGGATTGGCTGCTGCATTTATTATCAGAGCTAAGATTGGAATACAGGAACTATGGCAGACTGGAATTGATTGGGATATAGAAATTCCTACAAATATGCGAGGGAAATGGATTGAACTGTTTAAAGAGATGAAAGAGCTCAACAATATTTCTTTCAGAAGACCATTGCTAACAACAGATGTCAAAGAAAAACCATCATTGTGTTTGTTTTCAGATGCGTCACAAGAAGCCTTTGGAGCATGTGCATACCTTCGACAGAAGATTGAGAATGGCAAATTTGATGTTAGATTCGTTGCTGCCAAAACAAGAGTTGCACCACTAAAACAGCTAACCATACCACGCTTGGAGTTACAAGCTGCTGTCCTTGCATCACGTCTTGCAAAAACGATTCAAGAAGAATCAAGGATCGAATTCAAGGATGTTAACTTCTTCACAGACAGCTCGATAACATTAGCTTGGATTCAAAGTCCATCACGCAGTTACAAACCATTTGTATCATCCAGGATAGGAGAGATTCAAAGCAATTCAGACCCTAGCCAGTGGAAACACATTCCTGGGGAAAACAATGTAGCAGACGAGCTGTCACGAGGGATTCATGTACATGAACTGAACGGAAGATGGATGCACGGACCAGAGTTTCTACGAACTGCGGAAGAATTATGGCCAACAAAAGCTATTCCGTCGCCAGTCAAAGAAGACAGTGAACGTCGTAAAGCTACAAAAGTCTGCTTGTCGATAAACACAAAGCCTGAAAATGTTATCAATTATGACACAGTCTCCAGTTGGCCGAAGCTTATACGAGTTTATGCATGGATCAAAAGACTAGCTGAAAATATCAGACGCCTGAAACGTCATGTACCATTTAAATATGGACCACTGAAACCCGAGGAACTCCAGAAATCAGAGTTGTTTCTGATCAAAGATGCACAAAAAAGCTTACATAACCGTTTAAAGAAAGGTGAATTCAAGTCACTCAGTCCTTTTGTTGACGAAAATGGAGTTATTAGAGTTGGAGGCAGAGCAGATAAAGCTTTAGTGTCTTATGAGACAAGACATCCAGCCCTACTGCCAAGTAATCATAGGATTTCACTGCTGATAACCAGACACGTACACCAACACGGACACACCGGAGTTGCAACAACCACAGCAAAGATAAGAAGGAAATATTGGATACTTACAGGCAACAAAATAAGCAAATCTGTTAAATTCAAGTGTGTGTTCTGCAGAGAATTGGCACACAAAGCAGAAGAACAACAAATGGGAAGCCTTCCTGCAATTCGACTGACACCGCAAACACCACCATTCTACTACACAGCATGTGATTATTTTGGACCGTACAATGTTAGAATTGGACGTAATAAAACAGCAAAGCATTATGGTGTCATATTTACATGCTTGAGTACAAGAGCAGTTCACCTAGAGCTAGCAACAGATTGTTCTACAATGGAATTTTTACAAGTACTGAGAAGATTTTTTTGCATTCGAGGCTATCCAGCAGTAATTTTGAGTGACAATGGAACACAGATGGTTGGTGCAGAGAGAGTTTTGAGAGAGATGATAGGGGAATTCGACACTGACCAACTTCAAGAGTTTTGTACAGGGAGAGGCATAAACTGGATTTTCATCACACCGGCAGCACCACACCAAAATGGATGCGCAGAAGCACTTGTAAAGAGCAGCAAAAGAGCATTAAAAATCGCTATTGGTGAACAAGTTTTGAGACCCTTTGAATTATACACTTGTTTGATGGAAGTTGCAAACTTGTTGAACCAACGCCCAATTGGTAGAATTCCAAATGATCCAGATGATGGAGCCTACTTATGTCCAAACGATCTTCTGTTAGGAAGAGCTACCCCAGAAGTACCTCAAGGCCCATTTCAAGAAACTAAAGACCCACGTCAAAGGGTAGAGTTTGTTCAAAAAATTGTAAAATCATTCTGGAAACGATGGATACGAGATGTTTTTCCATCACTTGTTCCACAAAAGAAATGGCACATGGACCGCCGCAATGTCCAACCTAATGACACAGTTATTGTTGCCGAGAGCAACGCAATCCGAGGTAAATGGAACATTGGAAGAATCCTTGAAGTATTCCCGGGACCTGATGGACGAGTGCGCAATGTCAAAGTAAAAACAGCAACAGGAGAATACAGTCGCCCAGTGACAAAGATAGCAGTTATATGCCCAGCAGAAGGATATGAATAAATAACTTTACATATTTGATAAGGACCACGCCCTTATCGGGGGCGGAGGATGTTTCGTTGATTATATATTCTTAAAGGACATTATTATTATGTTGACAAGTTGCTTTGTATTATCCCGCTCTGTTTTATTCTTATGCAAATTAGTTTTAGTTAGTAGTATTCACACGTTGGAAAATAGGACACGATCGTTACCGCATGCTAACCAGGAATAATATTTAGACAGAAACCAGCTTATCAAAGACACTTTAGAGACATCACCATAAGTAAGTAAGTTTATTTTATTGTATTTTCGTATTCAGTTTCCATTCCAGTTATTCAGTTTATCGCCGCTGTAAGACGTTTTGTATTTACTTATATTCATAATTTACTTGTTTTAGATCGAATAAGATTTTCATTATACGATTGGGTGTCTTGTTCTAAAGTCTGTCCTGTGAGGAAACATACTTGAAGAAACACTTCTATTAACAAGATACATGTAGCATAGAGAATTCGAAAAATTTCACCTGGTTGTGATTTCAATTCGAACGTATAGAATTTGCCAATAGTTGCAATGACAGTATAGGGCAAATAGCAAATGAAAATGGCCACCAACACTAAACGGATGGTTCTCACGGCAGAAAGTTGCCATATCTGGGAATCACCATTAACCACTCTTCTGTTATTGTTGTTAAGGCCGTTGTGTCTAATTTGTTGCAATCGCGTCTGGGAGTTGATTTGGTGCTGTTGGAGTTTTCCATACATTTTTATGTATAGAATGGTCAGTCCGGACATTAGAGAAATGTTCAAAAAAGCAATTGCTACATACTGCCAGAAGGACTCTAGAAGTATATGCGTGATTGTAAAAGCAGAGGAAGTCACAAAACAGCCCATGACAAGGACAGCGAGTCGACGTCCGTTTGAATCCGATTGATAAAGCCTTGGTTTAGTGACATGAACATACCGATCGACAGCTATACATATCAATAACAGACCTGAATTTAAGGTCACAAAATGTGCCAGTATGTAGATTGCTTTCATAATCCATGCATCCAGTGTAATCTCTGGCAGCGAATGTAAAGCCTGGACAGGTAGAACAAGAACTCCAATGCATAAATCAGAGATGCTCATTGACATTATAAGCTTGTTGGAAACATTTTTGAGCTGGTTGGATTTATGTAGTCCATAGATCAGCAAAGAGTTTAATGTGATGTTTAGAAGAGAAAGGATTATAAAAGCAGCGGAGACAAATATAGCTACGTACCAATTTTGCATTTTCGTAACTCTGTTGAGATGATACTGGAATTCTCTTTGATCAAGCTGTTTCGAATTTTCTCAATCTGATAATATTGTCTTGCTGCAATTGTTTATAAGTCCAAACTATTCAAATAAAAATCAAAAATGAATCGCTCTTGACAGTCGGAAGCCAGGAAATTTTACTTCCCCGCAACACATTTAGTGAAAATGTCGTAAAATTCTCGTGCTAACATCGCATACGGTCATTATGAAGACGAGTTGGTTCGAGAATGTTCGAAGCTGTTTTGATTTGCACAGTGCGAATATCAAAAGACCGTTTGACCTTATGTCGACAACTGCGAATAGAATCATAAAGCAACCAACTAGAGTTTTGCTAAGATTTCCACGACCGTACCATTTTCACCAACCATGTTTGTCAAAGCACTTTCCTTTTACGTATTGAACAAACCAATGATATATTTTTTCATTTTTTTGGCCAATCAGTCCCTTATACGTTTACCTTTGCACAAAGTAAACACACTTTGTCCGATTTCAATTAAATTTGCCAAATTAATATTTTTCCATTTCCAGATGTCCTATATCAACACGTGAAATTTTGTGCTTTTTGCTATCTTTCTAGAAGCCTTTGCAAACAGTGTTCTTTCTTAATACAAAGATATCATGTTGTTTAGACCAAAAGGCCAAATAAAATTCTCTTTGTTTACTCTCAACATGGAGCAATAAGAAGAATCTGTTTAGAAATCTTTGGAAATTGCAAACCGTATTTTATCTTTTTTTTGAAAATTACCAAATATCCCCATTTGATTTAATAAAAACCTTTTTTCAGGATTTGGTAACACAACACTTGCCGTTTAAAAAGAAGACACCGCCAATTAATAGTTTCAGCATACATTCACGCAATCGTTTTCAATTTTTCTTTTCTACTCAATTCAAGTCAGTGCGATTGTTCAACTCCAGACTGTGATGTTAGAAATATTAAAAACTCTATCTTCACAAAACATAGGTTAAAGTCTCTGTTCCTGTTAATAAATGAAACTCAACTTAAAGCATCTTTAGACTTCTTATTCTCTTCAAGTAATATATGAAAAGGCTAAAAACAGCTATTACTGATTGATGTTACAGTCAATTTTGTTGGCCCTCTTAATAAGAGACAAAGATCAACGTTGACCTTTCCAGATTATGAATGCTTTGGGAAGTTTCAATAAACAACGTTTTTTAAGAGTTTATTTATCACGACATAACTAACTTGCCGACCACGCCCTTTGTTTTGTCCACTATATGAGCGACGCCATTGTCCCACAAAGGTACTAGAAGAAAATTCATGTTTCTTGATATTGAAAATAATGTCTCAACCATAGCAACTTGTCATACAAGAGGTCATTAAACTTTTAAAAGTTCATTCTAAATATCAACATATTCGAAACTTCGTTACTTCGTAACTAAATAGAAAAGACAATAAACTAAAAGTTTCCATGACTCTAAAGATTCATTAAAAAAGGCCAAAGTAATTAATCTTTGACCTATGAAATGAATTGTTATATAAGATAAAATTAAACAGTGAGATTCTGCAAGGAAAGGCAGTTTCTGCAAAAGAGACAGTAGAGCAAACGGTTGGAGAATTCCATATAAAAACTGAAGCGTGAGATGCCTAGTGAAAACAGTGAAATGACTCTGTGCCTGACGATATTCACCAACAGTGATGGAAAAAAGAGCACAACTCTCGTTGGATCCATCACGGTTCTCTTTGCATTTATAAACATAGCATCAAATGCTCTGTTAATTTTCGCAATGTACAAATCAAAGCAGATCAGGACACATTCAAGCAAATTTCTTCTTATAATGACAGTATCCGATCTGTGCACCGGAATCTTTGTAATGCCAGGATTAGGAATATTTTGGATTGCTGGAAAGCAACGAAGTTTTCTTGAAGTCCAGGTTATGGAATTTCTGATGATGTTTTTTGCATATATGTCGATTTTGATGATCGTTTGCATCTCGGTCGATCGATACTTCCACGTGACAAAGCAAGTCAGATACCAAGCCTGGATGAACCGTTTCCGATTTTCCCTCATAGTAGCAGCATTTTTAGGAGTCGGATTTGTAATGGCGATGCTCTCCATAAGTTTAACTTCATTCTATCTAGTGGTTGCGATGGTTATTTTCAACTTACTTCAGGTTTTATGCCTTATCATTTTTAACACAAGAACTCTTAGGATCCTAGAACGTCACCAAAGAACAACTGTATTACGACTGCAAAATGGGAGCCAAATTGCTAATGGCATGCAAATTGTCCCAAATGAAAAGCTCCATGCTGTTAGGAAGATTCGCTTGGTATTAGCAGCAGTTTTAGCCTGTTATCTTCCAGTCAACATCGCAACTATTGCTTGGACTTTTTTTAAGTTCAACCTACATATCAAGCCAGGTTTCACATTAACGGTGCTATATGAGTGGACAAAGCCAATCATGTTGAGCGTGACATTTCTCAATTCTTTGATAATATTTCAAGGAAATAAGAAGATTCGTCGAGCATTGTCGTCCATTTTCAGAAAGGACAGAGTTGATCATGAATGAAAAACTACATTATCTATTCTTTTTTTAGGCTACACGTGCTACTTTGAACGATCAGAACAAATCACAATCAAATAACAAGACTAGTTCTGAAGGCAAATATGATTCCCTTCATTCAAACATTTAAATATTTTCTGATGCACTTTGTATTGCTCGTGCTTAAATTTTGGCTTCTTTGGATTTTGATTTTTTGTCAGCAAAACCATCTTCATTGAAAGTGCCTTAGGTCTAACGATATCTACTATGAAAACATATGTTACGTACGAAGATTTTCTAATTTCACTACGATCTCTACTGGTTTTGGACTTCGTTCGGGCTTTAAAAGCTCAACTTCTTATCTTCATCTATGCGATGCGAATTGGATACAAATTTAGACTGGTCCTTCATTATAATCTTTAAGCCTTAATGCTCACGCATTGCAAAATTTATGTTAAAATTCTATATACAAATTAATTATAATAATCTTTTTTCTTTCCGCAAAGATGGCGGGAAATAGCAGAAACATTGCATGCTAAAGCATTTCTTCTACGATATTCCTCTATGTATAAAAATCGGATAGTGCCTAAAAGAAAGCAGAATGCTTATAACCTCGTGTGGATCGAAAGTAGCGTGAGAGGGAGACAGACATATTGGATTGGCCCCATGATTTTACACTAGTACAGCCACTTTCCTATTTCTCGGCCTATAAGTCGATCTGGCGTATAAGCTGACTGCAAAACTAGCTTTCAATAATTGCGCACTCTGAATATTTTATTGAGAAAATTTACGAATCAAAACAACTTTTGCTGCTTTAATTTAAAAATTTATTTTTGACCAAAAATTCACGACACCGGCGAGAGAAAAAAATTGATTCTAAAACCGCAGTTTACACTTTCCCATACGTCATTCGAACGGAAATCTTTTTGTTCAAATATAATTTTTTGCCTTGATTTCTTGTAACCTAAACTTAAGAATACAAAGCTAATTTTCTCAAGGAAAGTCTCTGGCGTAGAAGTGAAGGTCAACTTTTTACATCTAATTTGCGAAAAAAACAGACTCAACTGGTACTTAAAAAAGTACGGCAATCTCTTACTTTGTCGAAGAGCCCAATAAAGGAAGCGATTTTTTTCTATCTACGCAAGTGGCATCCTTTGTTTCGGTGGAAACCGATTTCGAAACTCCTAAATGAAAAGAAAACTTTTCCAGCAAAATGATTTTGAAATTGTTGTCTGACCAAATTGACTCGCCAATGATTTAAAGAAAGAGTAAAAATACCTAATAAATAGTTTAGTGTTTCAAAGAAGGGGTGGGGACCGCTAGACCTTACTGGGTAAGATTCGCGTAAACTCAGTTTTCTTTCTTGGACTCCAGTGGACCAAATTTTTTCAGGCACGCGGCACTGATTGTTTTCTTTGTTCTACCATCGAAACAATGTAATTAAAAGCACCTCTCACTGGGTGGGGGGTCTGTATCTAACTGGGTTGGGGGGGCTGTACTTAAAGCCATACACAAAATCAACCGGCTCTTGTTTTTAAAATGTTTACCCTCTCAAAGAAAGCGTTTTAGCTCCCTCAATCTGAAATATGCTTCTCGGTCATTGAATATTTGTGCAATGCTCAGTTCCCACAAGATTATTGGGGCATGCTTAATTCTCACAAGAGAATATTGGAGCATGCTTATTTCCCAAAACTAAAGATGGAATGTACGGACGTGAAAAAGCACACACATGAAAATACGATGCTGGTATGATAGTGCCAGGGCCTAGTCGAAGGAAATATGTTCTAACACTGTTTTGTTTCGCATGTTGATAAAGATTTATTTTTCTTCTTGCTTGGTCGACCAAAT